TCTCAGGACACTCATCTGGTTAAATAAAGAAATCAGATCACGTCCCGGATGCCATGTTTGATGCCACCAACAGGAAGTAAAAGATTTCTCCTTCAGCCTTGAGCCAAATTTAGTCTTTCTACGATCAAAATCAGCTTGTGGCTTGACGGAGTCTGGTGGGTTTGATGACCTCCATGAAGGAGCGTCAGAACTTTTCTGACCCAAGACCTGATCATGGGTCAGAGGCGTCATACATCTGAGAAGATCTGGGCCAGTTTGCTCACAGGACACACCTGACCTCTGCTCTCAGACGCGTACTTGTGGAGCTGTGGGGAGAATGTTCTTGTGACAGAACCACACAAACAAATCTCACATGTTCTCAGTCTTCTGTGCGTCCCACTCTCGTCTCCACTGCCCTGTGGCGTTACGATGGCGAGCTAATCTCTCCTCATCAATCTGCTCGCGCTCCTTCTTCCAGCGCAGGTACTCGGCTCTCTCACGGCCGGTCATGGACATGGTCATGTCCACGGAGCCTTTGGCATCAGGCCTTCGACTCTGCAGATCAAAGATGGTTGAAAAGAGTGCTAAAGCTCCTTAAAAGCCTAAAGAACAATCCTCCTTACGGTCCACTCTCTCTCTAGCTCCGCGCCCGTCTTCACTTTGTCGAAATCCAGCCCTCCCCAATTCCGAATGTGTCTCCGGCTGCCCTCCTTTCGGTCCATGTCCGGAGCAGGACCAGAACGTCTGGGATCATCCAGGAAATTCCGGATTGGCTTATCTCCATCCGCCTGAAGAGAACCAGGAAGCCTGGTCATGTCTTAGCAGCTCTGGCAGTTATGAGAATAAAAACGGTGGATTTGTTACCCGCTGTCCTCTCTCGTACTCCGCTATCCGCTCCATTTCCTCGTTCATCTTCTCGATGTTCTGTCTCCTCTTCTCCTCCCATTCCTGCTCAAAGACACCTTTGTGATTCAGACTGGCTGTTCTGCTTTAATCACACGTTTTCATGTAGTTTTACTGTCAAGTGACCTTGGGTGTCCTGAAAGGCACTTTTAAATAAAATGTACTATTATTATTATTATTATTATAATAATTATTATTATTATTATTACTATTATTATAATTATTATTACTATTATTATTATTACTATTATTATTATTACTATTATTATTATTATTATTATTACTATTATTATTATTACAATTATTATTATTACTATTATTATTATTATTATTATTATTATTACTATTACTATTATTATTATTACTATTACTATTATATTACTATTATTATTACTATTATTATTGTCACGACTGAATAATTACACATCATCACCCTACAGATACGGAAACAAGACTGAATAAATATCAGTTGTTCTTATCCGGCCGATACCGATATTGATGCCGATATATTGAGAATCCCTATTTCAGTCCAACGTCCAGTTCTCACCTTGGATTTCCTGTCGACCCCACCAGGAGTCTCTCCTCCTCCTCCTGCTGCTCCTCCTGCTCCTCCTCTCCTTCCTCCTCTGCGACCTGGGCCTCCGGGCTCACCCTCTCTTGGTGTTCTTGGTTCCCAATCTCTCCTCTCTTGGCGACCCCCACCTCCTCTTGGACCCCCCCGACCCACTCTTCCTGAACCCATCCTCCTGGGGGTGCTGAGGTCATCACTCGGCCCTTTGTGGTCATCGTTTTCCTCAGAGCTTTTCCTTCCACGGGGTGTTGCTGCTTTCCAGTCATTCACCACTCTCTTCTCCTGCAGGAAGCAACCATTACAGGATCAAAATCACTAAATCAAACCATAAAAACGCAATTTCTGTAACGTCTACCTGAGCCAAGAGAAATGCTAATTAGCTTCACTTTATTTGGAAGGAAGGAAGGAAGGAAGGAAGGAAGATAGGAACTTATCTTTTATATAACGCCTCTCAAAAAATTCAAATAATACAAAAATTATTTTTTTAATTCAAAAAATATCATAAAATACTTTTTAAAGGAGACCACTGAGTCCACTGATCTCAGGCTCAGGGGGAGAGAGGTCCAGAGTCTGGGAGCCACAGCAGCAGATGATCTGTCACCTTTGACCTTTAGCCTGGTGCTGCACAACCAGTAGGCTTTGGTCACTGGACCTCAGGGACCTGCTGGGGGTGTAGGGACTAAGAAGATCACCAATGTGAGATGGTGCTTGTCCATTAGGGCTGCAATGATTCGTCAACGTTGTCGACAGATATCAGCAATAAAAATAGTCGAAATTGATCGTCGACGTTGTCGCCAGATGTGTTTTTCCGAAAGAGTGAGGCATCTCACTTCATTACAATCTCTGCTGAGAGTCGCACATGCGCAACAGCTTCTCTGCTGAGCGCCAACCAACAGAAATGGCGGCGTCCGACACCGCAGCTACGCGTACCAAAACATCTAAAGTTTAGGAGCGTTCTAGCCGGGATTCGGTGAATAAAAGGTGACCTGCATTATTTATAAAGCAGTCCTCTCGTAGCGGCAGCACCTCGCTGATGCAGAACACTTAACGAGAAAGCACGTCGGGCAGCTGGATGAACCAGTCCGACTCGCCTCGGTAGGATTTCCATAACAGGAAGGCCGACACGTTTTGTTTTGGATGGACATTTTTAAACGTGTTTTCACTTTTAAAGGAGATTTAATGTTATGCCCGACTGTGTCTGACAAAAGTATTTTAACTTTATTTATGTATTTATGTCTGTACTGGCTGGGCACTGTGCCTAATGTGTGTTAGGCAGCATTTTTATTGACTTTAGTAAGAATCGGCCAATCAGCAGCAGAGTTCAATAAAATGAGCATTTTCCATTGAAGTACCCGTCTTTCTTGTGTTTATTATCATTTTTCACACAATTAAAGCAATCTCATGCTAAACTTAAGAAACATTTAATAATTATCCGATTAGTCGACTATTAAAATAGTCGTTAAGTGCAGCCCTGTTGTCCATGTAAGGCCCTATAGACCAGAACCAGGGATGAACCCTGAAGTTGACTGGCTGCCAGTGAAGCTGGAGGAGAAGCGGGGTGATGTGGGTGTGTTTGGAGGACTTGGTCAGAAGCCGAGCACAGGCGTTCTGAACCACCTGTAGACGGTTCAGGGAGGTTCTGCTCAGACACGTGAAAAGAGAGTTACAGTAGTCTAAGCGTGAGGAGATGAAGGTGTGGAGAACTGTCTCAAGTTCAGAGCGGGACAGAATGGGACTCAGCTTAGCAACGTTCCTGAGATGGAAGAAGGAAGAGCCAACAAGAGAACTGACATGAGAATCCAGGGTGAGAGCTGGTTTGGGTTAGATTCAGCTGCAGAAAGTTCCCTCCAGGTTGTAATGTTGTATATAAAATACATTTAATCACTAAAAAAGATTTACAATCTTATTCTTTATATTTCAGGTTTAGTAGGAAAATGAAATGTTGGCTTTAATCTAGAAACTTCCTGCTTGACAGTATTCCTTCTCGGAGGCTCTGACACGCTGCTGTATAAAAGCAGACCTGGACTTGTTTCAGAGTAAAAACACTCGTCCAGCAGAGAAGAGCTGCAGGACCTGTAGGACGTAGCGACGAGCAGAAAACACCTTCTACAGTTGGGACAGGTGCATGCTGGGTACAGCAGACGGGCCAGTTCTCACCCCGGCTGGTTTACACAGGTCTACTGTGACCGTGATGTTCTCTTTCTCCATCTTCCTCCGGTCTGTCTCTGGGTCATGGGGGCGGGGCCTCCGAGGTGTTGTCACGGCAATCCCCTCCTGCTCCGCCTTTTTCTTGTCTTCTTGTATTTCCTGTTAGGGGAACAGAACAGCACTAGTGAGTGCTGCGTGCGAGGCACAGCTGTGACGCTGCTCTAGCCTGGTTTACACGGGGAAGGACCTTTTATTTTAACCCTTTTATGACCTTTCTGGTGTTTGAGACAGAAACACAAACAGTTCTTCTCATGAACGTCGTCCTTGGCTTCAGCCCCAACAAAACATAATAATGTGTGTTTCTGAGATTTGACCCTTTCACTGCCAGGTTTACCATCACCACCAGAACTGTGAAAAGATGTAAAAATACTTTTATATCTATTCTTTTTTTGTGTTTTCTGTTCGTTTGACCTGTTTTGGGGTTAAACTGTCACAGCCTGGGAGGTCACACAAACGCATAAAAATATTTTTGCTCACTTTATAGTTTTTGTACAGTTTCATGTTTTCTAAAAGTCACAATTTTAACCTGCAGACACAAAACTTCCTCGCATGAACTTCCTAACTCCCAATCTTCTAATTTAGTCCTTGGCTGCAGTCCTCGCACAACATAATAAAATGTGAGTGCGTTCCTGAGGTGCGACCTGCGTGCTGTCACACACAGCGCTGGTGTGATGAACCCCCGCCCGGTCACACAGGCCGAGCCGGAGGGGGAGGGGCCGGCTCTACAGCCAGCGACCCAAACAGCAGCTTGTGTAGGAAATGAGATGAGAACCTTCTGCTGCTCAGTCCCAACGTCGCGTCTAAAGAGGCGTGGTGATGGGGCCGTTGCCGTGGTGATGGGGCCGTTGCCGTGGCAGGTCCTTATGGCGCGGTATGGGGGCCAAAATTAAGACTACTGCCCAGCAGCAGGAGGCTATATAAACCCTGAAGCAAACTACCGACCTGATTAATGATCAACTGGCGCCGGTAACTGAGAGGCTGGCACTGCTTACTGAGGAATAGCACCTTTACCGGCGTTACTACTAGATACGCTAGGGACAAGCAGCCCTCGGCTGGTCATTGACTGGTTCAAACACTCCCGCTGCTGTCTATTAGTAAGTAAGTAAGTAAGTAAGTAAGTAAGTAAAAGTTTATTTATAGAGCGCCTTTCACAGATATAAATCACAAAGCACTGTACAACATGATAAAGATCAGGGCAAATACATCTAACCAATAAAAACATCAGAAAAACAATAGCAGTGATAAACGTAGAAAATAAAATCATGAGTATAAACAAAGTGAAGGTGTGAACCCGAACAAAGCCATCTTTTTGAAACATTTAGGGTTAGGGTTAGGGTTAGGCTAATGGCTAGACTCTCCAATGTTAACACCAGCCCATCCAGGCTAACGCTAGCCTATCCATGCTAATAGACAGCAGCGGGAGTGTGTGAACCAGTCAATGACCAGCCGAGGGCTGCTAGTCCCTAGCGTATCTAGTAGTAACGCCGGTAAAGGTGCTATTTCTCAGTCACCGGCGCCAGCTTATCATTAATCAGGTTGGTAGTTTGCTTCAGGATTTATATAGCCTCCTGCTGCTGGGCAGTAGTCTTAATTTTGGCCCCCATACCGCACCATAGGTCCTTAGCTCTCAGCTTAAGGGTCTCCACCTCTGTGGCGGTTTTTAAGGTAATTTTAATGATCTGTCTGTTTATCTGATCCATTGTTTTATTCTTGTTTATTTGACCCAATGTTTTTATGTTTTTTTGCTTTATTGATCTGTGAGGCGCCGTGGTGGCATGCTTTTGCCTGTGAGGCGCCGTGGTGGCATGCTTTTGCCTGTGAGGCGCCGTGGTGGCATGCTTTTGCCTGTGAGGCGCCGTGGTGGCATGCTTTTGCCTGTGAGGCGCCGTGGTGGCATGCTTTTGCCTGTGAGGCGCCGTGGTGGCATGCTTTTGCCTGTGAGGCGCTATTTAAATAAAAGTAGAGGTGAGGAAATGTGCTACATGACTAAAGCGGCCTTGTCTTGTCCTTCCTACACTGGTGTTCTAACAGTGATCCAGATCAGGTCTAGAAAATAAAACACACTGATAAAGCTACTGATGTCTGTTTATCCTTATTGTGTCTGAATAGTATGATTCACATTAGTTTGACCTTAAACTTGCACCAGTCTAGTTCCAAAAGTTCATTAGTCAGCGGAGAAATGAATTAAGACACCTGCAGGAAATATTTAAAATCCAAGATGTCCCCACCTGGTGCCTCTTTACCAGAGCTTCGTTCTTCTTCCTCAGAGCTTCGATTCGTTTGTCCAGCTCTGCATCTTTCTCCTCCTTGGTCTTCAGGTCCACTGCTGAAGACTGAAACAAGGACAAGCGGGTAGAAGAAGTCTGTCTGCTCCGAAAGTCTAACTGAACCAAAACTTGACTTTTACTTAGAGACAAAGAGCTAAAGTAACACTTTCACCTTCATGCAACACTTTAAAATTCCCTGAAATGTCCCTAGTGTCCTGGAACTGGTTTTCCCACTCACCATAGCTGCCTTTGGCGTCTTCAGATGCAGATGTGTGGATTCAGAAGGTCCTGAAATCAAAAGGTTTCTGGATCAAACTTGCTGGTTTATGTAAGACTTTAAACGTCTCATTCCCTGACTCAGCGTTTTTTATTTGACCTGATGTTCCACTCATGGACGTAATTTTGGGGGGGGGGGGACAGGGGGACATGTCCCCCCTGTCCCCCCCCCACTTTTTCCAAAGTCAAGTTTTGACCCCTGCACTTTTTACCATCCAAAAACAATATTACTCTATATTGAATTGACACTGGTTGAGCTCTAGGACCAAGCCGAAAACAACCTTTTGTGTTGAAGCCTGTTTCCTATTAGAACATACTGTAAAGATACCCCTCCCACCGCCCCCCCCCCCGTGTCCCCCCCACTTCTAAAGTGAAAATTACGTCCATGGTTCCACTCTACTCCAAAAGGGTTCAAATGAAGACAACTGAACTTCTTTGGGGTTTTTTAGGCATTTTTCTTCTCTTTTGAGGAGCTTTGTTGATTCTGACTGGAATATGGGAGGGTCAAGCTTATAAACTGTAGCCGTCTGTTGCTGCTCAAGGGACCTGACACACAGAGGCGACCCGCGGCAGCGGCAACGCCGTCTACGCGTTCTGTTCCATGGCGAAATTGAAACTTCCGTTGTTTTGATTGGCTGTGTCAGGTTGGAGGGAATTAAGGTTATTTAAGCGGTTCAGAGTTAATAAAGTGGTAGATATGATGTTTCACACGGTGCTGCTAGAGTTATGTGAAATCTTACTTCTGATTTTACTATAAAACATAATAATAATCAACTTCTCCTCCATGTTTGCTCGGAGATGTACGGAGCATCCTGTCCGCTCATTGGTTAGTGAATCAAACTGGTCCTCGTCCGGGCGACAGCGATGAAAAGTTGAAAATGTTTCAATTTTCTGGGATCGCGTCTCTGGGTCGCCTGTGCACGACACGTGCACGAGCGCAAAATTTCACACGCACGTTTTTCACGTCTCGTTTAGTAGGAGGGAGACCCGCAATTATCGCTTTGTCACGCATTTCTCATTGAAAATGGAGGAGAGGCGATGTTGCCTCCCGTGTGTCGAGCCCATAAAGAGCAGAAACTATCTCCGAATACCCCTCGTCCCTACCACTGATTAGTCTTTTGTGTGAGGGGGTCAGAATAAACAAAGCTCCTTGATGAGAAGCGAAACGTCTTCAAGAAGCCAAAGAAGTGCAGTTGTCTTCAGTTGAAGTCCTCTGGATTGACCTGGATGACGTTCACCTGCGGTCTGACACATTAAAGGGACAGATGTGACTGGCTTACTTTGGTTGGCAGGTGGGATCATGTTCACTTACCTTTAAAGTGTACACCTGAACAACTCTAAAACACCCACGTGATCAGCTTTGAGTATGGTTTTCAACAGCTCCGACTTCTGCTGAATATTTCACACAAACGACTTTTCTGGGTCATAAATCAAACGCATTCGTGGCTAATCGACCTGTTAGAGCCCAGTTCTGTCAAATGAATGTTTTGGGGTTAACGTGAGAAGGTAGGTGAGTCCTTCATGCGCCTTTAAAGCGTCTGTAAGCGTACTAACAGGAGGCAAGATGGAAACACCCGAGTCACTGCAGAAACAGAGACGACACGGAACAGAATCCCGCATCACACCCGACCCGCATTTTATCACACCGCAACAATAACGCGTTTAGTTATCAGGTCTGCTGGGAGGTGACGCAAGCGCCCTGAGCCGACCCAAACGCGCCGCAAACTTCCTAATAAATGATAGTACAACGTTACAAACCCGACATTATTCAGGCCGAGCCAACGCGGAAACGTGTACGGGGTTTAGTGACACTCCGTGTTCAAATTACGTACCTTCGTAACAAGAGTAAGAAGATTGTTTAGACTCGGCGCTTTCTTGCCTATTTCTGCTCCTTAGCGTGTCCTCATGATTGAACCGTACGATGGCTAAAGCTAACTTCCTGCCAAATACAGACCCTCTCAGCAGATTTAAAGACGCAGCGTACCTCGAGCCAGTTAGCCTAGCATCGAGGTTCTTTCATTAGACCTTCATTCTTCCGCACCAGTTTTACTGGTTTAGGCAAAGAGATGTTAATTCGCAACCGAAACCCAACGTTTCAATTTAAGAAGGTGTGATTCGCAAACTGTCCACTAGAGGGGAGAAGAGGACAGCTCCCAACCGGACTGGAAAAGCTGCCGCCCAAACTCTTAAAGGGACAGTCACACAAAAACTGATCCATGGAGTCAGTGGATGAAACCCAAACATTTTGTAATTTGAATATTATTTTTATGCACATCATATGGAGGTAGTATAGATGAATAAAAGCATTAATTAATCAGGAATTAAGTCCATAATTGTTAGAATTAATTTTTTATGACATGTTAACAAAATTTGATTCAGATGGTGACTTCATTAGTATTTAGGATATAAAAAAAATTTTCATCTTGCTATTTAGGAAAATTAGATTTTATAAAGAATACAAGCATTGTTTTCATGGAATCATGAGATTATTGTGGTGCAAATCTGTGTTGTTCTAGTGAACTTACATTGTCCATTATTTCTACCTAGGGGATCACTATACAGTAACTCAACATGTGCAACTCGGTTTGCTGAATGTGACATTTTAAACTTGAATGAGGTGCTAGCACGATGAAACCGAGACTTCTCTCAGTAAAAACATTTAACTTTCCTCCTTGCAAAAAGATGCTTTATTGTCTGGAGAAAACAACATATTTAAATGATCAGCAATTCCAGTCGAGCTTTGTGAAAGACAGAGAGGCAATAAGATTGCTGTCCTGAAGATGACAGAAAATTTTAGCATCTTAGATTCCCTAAGTACAATACTACTACTAATGATTCAATTCAATTCAATTCAATTCAAAAATACTTTATTAATCCCAGAGGGAAATTGATTGATGATGATTATTATTATTGTTGTTGTTATCAATAACAACAACAACGACAACAATAATAATAAATATACTAGTAATCAGGTAAATATGTTTTAATATGACACTAATCCCCAACCAGTGATATCATGTACATTTTATTAGACTCAATTAATACAAAACAGTTTACTATTTTATGAACCAAGACAATAAAAATGTTTGTGACAAAAGGTGATTAAAAATGAGCTTTAGTTGTTTTTTAATTAAGTGATCTGTTAGTTTTCAGGATTTGTGTAAAAATACTAAAGTATGGGTGTAAAATGTTAAATATGCTGGTAAATTGTAATATTTCCAACACTGTGATTGTTTTACCCTCACTGACTCTGTGGTGAGATGACAGATTGTCCCGTGGCCCAGTTTCCGTGGACAACAACAAACAAACAGTCTCTGTTGTTGGGCAGGACACTGAGTAATGACCATGCAGGATTTGCTAATTGCTTGATAAGATCTTGAAACGTGAGCTGACGTTTCTCTGCCATCGCCTGACGAGGAGGAAGACAGGAGAGCCCAAGGTAAAGGTGGAGACCTGTAGGGGACATGCCCAACAGTAGCATTGATTACACTGACAAAAGCACTCCTGTGTCACACAGAGGTGGAAAAACTACCACTACTTCCTACTTAAGTACAAGTACCAATACTTTGATGACTTTTTTTACTCAAGTACAAGTAAAAGTATTTAACAAAATTTTTACTCAAGGAAAAGTAAAAAGTATTGTAAATAAAATGTACTCAAAGGAAAAGTTACTTAGTTACTTTTTTGTCAGCAGAAGGATCGATACATCTAGGTTGTGCAAAATCACAACGCCAGCTCACAACATGCTTGAGTGCACACACACACACACACACACACACACACACACACACACACACACACGCACGCACACACACACACACACACACACACACACACACACACACACACACACACACACACACACACGCACGCACACGCACACACACACGCATACACACACACACACACACGCACACGCATACACACACACACACACACACACACACACACACACACGCACACACACACACGCACACACACACACACACACACACACACACACACACACACACGCACACACACACACGCATACACACACACACGCACACACACACACGCATACACACACACACGCACACACACACACGCACACACACACACACACACACACACACACACACACACACACACACACACACACACACACACACACACACACAGGTGTAGCCACAACTGCCCTGGGGTGCTCTGGCTCCACCCGTCCCTCTGACCACCACCAGCAGGCGAGGCGGGTTAAGTGTTTTGCTCAAGGACACAACAGCAGCATTCTCAGACCGGAACCGGGATCAAACCTGCAACCTTCCTATTACAGGACAACCCGCTCTACCTCCTGAGCTGCTGCCGTCCCTGATGGTAAATTATAGAAGAATAAATCATCTTAATCTGGTTCAGACCACAGAGGTTTAGACTAAAGTAGAGTTGATGTTAACAAACTCCCGGACCGTTAGAGACAAACGCTCCACAGAAGCCTCCATCCAGCTGCCTCCTGACTCATTCATCTGAGGGATGCAGGTCAGAGGCAGAATCAGCTCTCCAGATCAGCGCTGCTTTAATTATCCTGTGGCACCACGTGCTGGTTTGAGACGGTGTCCCGGTGTAGAGGTGTGGATCCCCTTTCAGCCTGGATACAAGCGGTGGGGCGGGGCCGGGGGCGGGGGGTGGATCCGACCCGGTATGAGCTCATTGTTGTCAGAGCCAAACAGCACAGTCTCCCGGGACGACATGAGAACCCTGGAGTGTCAGATCACGCAGAGGAAAGTGATGATGGTTTGTGTTGTTGATGTGAACAGCCAGCACCTGGGGGGCTGGGGGGGGGGGTCACCAGGCAGATGTTACAGCTGCTGAAGCCGCTTTATTAAGGTGAACTCAGGTTTTTGCCTCTTTCTGATGCTAATTCACTCGTATCACTTTGTTTATATAAGAAAGAAGTTCAGACACAAAGTCTCGCGTCCTTTCTCGACCTTTTTTATGATTACAACCTTTATTTAACCAGGAGAGTCTCGTTGAGATTAAAGTCTCCTGCGAGAGCGTCCCGGCCAGGACAAGCAGGGCACACACCAGTTACAGCTTTCATCCATGCATGCAGAGTTAAAACCAGCAAACCAAATAAAAATATAGGAACAGCACGTTACAATCATCAAAGCAGCTGCAGGTTCTTCTGACCGCGTGTTGAACGTTTCAACGCCGTTTGAAAGAGACCAGCTTCCAAACAGGAGCAGCAAACGGAAAACCTCTTTTCCCGTTTCAGTTCGGAGCTGACCGTAGAAACGGGTCAGCAGAAGGAACACAGCAGGAATCAGAAGATTGGTGGGAAATGTACAAACAAGAAGGAAGCTGAGCCCATAAGAGTCCGTCTACCTGCACACATGGAGCCCGAGTTGGTGTGCAGGTCCACGTGCAGCGATGTCTGTGCTCCACCAGTGTGACCCACAGCATCAGAGGCTTTAGCGAGGTCCATGACAGAGCTGCACAGGGATGCTATGATGTCACGGACCCCTTTAATGCAGCAGCGGTTGCACCGCGTTGCTTCCTGCAGCCGGACTGAAAATCAGATCAAATCTTATTACCAGAAAGAAGTTTGTTTAGTTGGACGAGTGATTCCAGAAGTTTGGCCGGAGCGGATCATCTGGAAATCGGTCTATAATTGTTCAAAAGTGTTGGGTCACCACCTTTCAACAGTGGAAGAACAAAAGCTTCGTCCAGATTGGTGGATTTCATTTGTGGCCAGAATGAGGCTGAAGAGGTGAGTCGGAGGGTTAGACGGACACGAATCTCTTTCATTCGTTGGCCTGTAATAAGGGTTAGGGTTAGGGCTACGATGCTGTAAAATCAGCTGCAATTATTCACAGGTTCCAAAAATCCAACATGGCAGAAAAAGCTGTTTTTTCTTCCTACGGTCACCGCATGCTTCCTCAGAATAACTTCTGGACCTTTAGTCAAAGTGAGACTCTGCTACTTACCTGAGACTCAGACCTACAGAAGTGTTTCAGCAACGATAAAGCTTTAGTCGTGTGTGAACAGTCGTGATGTGCTACAGAAGCACATTCCTCCACGCTGCGTTGACCCAACTTATCACAACAGGGACTTAGTTGGGAAACACTCACATGCTCACGCCGCGGGTCCAGCGGTGCGTCTCTGTTGGAGGAACCTGGATGAGGTCATGGTGCTGATCTTCAGACACCTTTTCTCTCTTCACAAACCAGCAGATGCTTTTGTTTTTCCCTGAAAATCACAGCTCTGCCACATTTTTCCTCCTGAATCCGAGGTTGGACAATCCGTGGGACCCTCCACTCCAGAACCCCTGAATAGTTTACCGGGGTGGTGTCGTGGTGCCCCCGCCCTGGTCTGCCAGGCCAGTGTAACTGCCCCTCATGTTGCAACCCCACACAACCTCGCCCCTTGCTGAGGAACTTTGACCTCCTCAGTGATGTCAGCAGTGAAAACAGCCTAACGTTGGTCACACATTATATTTGTTGTCACATAAACAAAAACAGGCAGGAAGTTCTGACCCGCTTCACTGCAGGAACGAGACCCGAGGCAGCAGATCTCCTTTACATGCTTACCTGCTACACAGGTAACTTCTCAGTGTGTGTGTGTGTGTGTGTGTGTGTGTGCGCGTGTGTGTGTGTGTGTGTGCGTGCGTGTGTGTGTGTGTGTGTGTGTGTGTGTGTGTGTGTGTGTGTGTGTGTGTGTACACCTTATCTAGTGCGGTCACATAGTCTATGCGCTCAGGTTACAGTGAATTAGCCTCTTGATGCACGCTCACACGTTGCAGGAGAGTAAACGATGCTGATGAAGAGGTATGCAACCAGAAACCTGGCAGCTGACTTCATCACAGGTGGCATCAGTCACCGATTGGCACCAGCAGGTGTTCTGAGTGTGAAGGTGTGAAACCTGAAACGGGTCCTTGAGCAGGCACTCGCTCCTCGGCTGCAGGAATTTTGATGACATCACACTTTATTTCTGAAGGCATCTCAGTGAAACCTTTAAAAGCTGATCTCTCTAGTTTTGAAGATCTGATTGTTGTCCATCCTCCCTCAGGATCATTTATCTTCTCAGCTCTGACTGAGAAACCAGATCAAATAAGCATTAAATCGAATTATTGATTGCAGATTCTTTTTGATTGGTGAATAATTTTCTGTTGCTGATGTTTGAAACATTTAAAAGACCACATTAACTGAAATGTGGGAATGACTTTGAAGGATAGAAATCACTGAAAATATTTTTATAAATAAACCTACTGGTGGCTATTTCTTTAAAGGTGCATTATGTAGAAATGAAGTAAAATGACATCATGTGGTAAATCTGGTTACTGCAACCAGTTTAAATAACTGTTTAAACTGGTTATGGGAGCTGCAGCCACACACACACACACACACACACACACACACACACACACTCACTGACGGTAAACAGTCGTTATGGCCCTCCTTCCTGACCCTAACCCCAACCCAGCAGCTGGATATGAAATATGTTTCAGTGGAAACTTCCTTCCTAAATGACTGAAACATCAGACTCTTTTGATTTTCTCACTGTAAAAATCATCATATTCTTACATACTGCACCTTTAATAATCAACAACGTTGCTATTTCTGGCCATTTGTTTTTACCAGAAAAAGGTTAGATAAAAAGTTCCCATTGGCAGGTTTTTAAATTAAACGTATGCACCTAACAACAAAGCAGATGTGTAAAAGCGTAATAGATGAAAGATTATATTCAGTTCATGATATGAAATCAACAGCATTTATCTAAGTAAACAACAGTTTTCAGTTTGTGTTAAATTTGTTATCTGATGAGTATCTGGTGACCACCACACATGACTCAAAGCTATCTATGATAGCTTCCAGTCAGGTTTTCGTAGAGCTCATTCTACTGAAACAGCTCTTCTTAGGGTCTCTAATGACCTTCTGACCCACAGTGATGCAGGGGACTGTTCTGTTCTGGTCCTGCTGGACCTGACTGCAGCCTTTGACACTGTTGACCATCACCTGCTACTGGAGAGGCTGAGAGACTGGGTAGGCCTATCAGGATCTGCTCTGGAGTGGTTCTCCTCTTATCTCTCTGAGCGCTCCTTTTCTGTGGCCGTCTCCAAGTTTAGGTCCTCCACCACCTCTCTTACCCATGGTGTCCCACAAGGTTCTGTGCTGGGGCCTCTGCTCTTCCTCCTCTATCTGCTTCCTCTTCAGCATGTCCTGAGCTCCTTCAAAGGAATCTCCTACCATCTTTATGCAGATGACATCCAACTGTACATCTCCTTTAAGCCCCATGAGATGTCTAAGCTGCAGCTGTTACACACCTGCTTAGACTCTATCAACACCTGGATGGTGGGAGCTTTCTTCAGCTGAATGAAGATAAGACTGAGATCCTCATCTGTGCCCCAGACAAGCTGGTTCCCAAAGTCAGAGACTCTCTTAAGCCCCCTTCAGACAGGCCATGAAAATCGGAAATGTTCCGGACTCTGTCCGTAAGACCTTTGTGTCTGAATACAAACATCCGGATAACGTGTTCTGGAATTAAACCGGACGAAGCCCCTAGTAACAGGTCCGGACTTGTTACGGACAGGGTGGCTGCTTCAGACTGGTGAGGTAGAGTTCCGGACAAGGGGGAGGGGACCGGGGGACGCTGTGCGCACCTATATAACTCGTTCCTGTAGCATGCGGCGAACCACGGCAGCTCGCCTCCTACGGTACCGCCTAGACGCTCGACGGAGCGCTTCACACCTCTTCAGTGATTCCTTTAACCATTGAGCTTCATCATCCAGGTCTCTTATGCGTCTTCGTGTGCGCAGAATTATGCTTAAGCGCCTCGTGATTTTTATCTTGAGAGGCGCTATAGAAATTATATTTTCTTCTTCTTCTTCTTCTTCTTCAAGTCTCCTAACCAGAGGATATTCGCCCGGGCATGTACCTGAGAGAGAACCCCACATTTACCCCCTCCAACCCAAATAAGGGTGTGTGTGTGTGTGTGTGTGTGTGTGTGTGTGTGTGTGTGTGTGCGCGCGTGCGCGGGGGGGTCCTCCGACCCACAGCTCATCTCATGGCCTGCAGCTGAGAGTTGTTTCACAAAGACAATGAGCTGGGGGTCAGGGGTCGAGATGGTGGGGGTTTCTAAGGTTACTTAGGATGCTAATGTTATGCAGCGTTCTCCAGCATCAGACTGCTGCAGCTGAAGACCTGCTTATCAACAAAAACCAAGAACCTTTGGCTGTGGAGAGCAAGAAACGGCTGTTGAAATAGAGTCAGCAGCTCAGAACGTTATAAAACTGGATGTGTGTATGCAGCAGCACACACACTTAGGGAAAGGCAGTAGGAAAACAATAACAGTACAGGCACACACACAAAGGCAGTAAGCTATTACTGTAATCTTCAACCAGACTCTGGACCTCTCTCCCCCTGAGCCTGAGATCAGTGGACCGACAATAACAAATATTATTATTATTACTATTAATAGATTTCATTTATTAATCACGTTATATTTCACAATCTCAAAGTGCTACTTAACATGATCAGAGTCCAGAAAAATAACTAGAATAAAATGAAAGAACATTACCGCCACGGTCTGACCGGACACTGCCTGATGCAACCACGGCATTGTGGCAAAATGGCTGCATTGTTGTGTAAAAACAACCGTAATTCATATGTCGTCAATCCTTAATGCTACACAGGCTAGAGGCTAACGTTGAGCTAACAATGCTAATGGTGAATTAGAAGCAGATAGTCGACTCTCAAAATATCTCAAACTACTTTTTCATTTTACAGACAACTCGACATACTTATCTACTTACTGTGTGTGACTCGTCTTCAGTCGTGACCTGGAACCTTCAGGTGCTGACCTGTCACTAGCAACAGTAGCTCAGAGGACTAGGTTTCGTACATAGGTGGGCTGCAGTACTCACATTTGACCACAGGGTGTCATTCTTACTTCATGCACCTTTAAGGAATCATTGACATTCTTTCAAATGTAAAGTCTCAACCATTGAATATTATTGGTTGCTGTTGTGAAAGATTTGTTTTTTTTATATTTCTGATTGCGTCGTTTCTAGGCAGTTTTTGACGTTGGTTTTTGTTGAGGGAGCGAGGTGTGTCATGAACCTGAGCCCAGGTGAAGTAAGGAGGAAACTAAAATTAAAGGTTTATGGGCGTACAGTTTTCCCATTCACTTCATAACTTTTAAAGAAATAAATGCATGTTTTTATTTTGCATTTGCTGGACTTAGGGTTTGCAGAGGTTGAAGGATGACAACTCACTCAGGATCATTTTGTGTGCGCGCGCGTGTGTGTGCGTGTGTGTGTGTGTGCGTGCGTGCGTGTGTGTGTGTGTGACCATTCTGAATCCTGACAGAAAAGCATGTCAGCACTTGTGTAATACAGCACACTTCCTGTTGTACACCCATCAAAATAAGAGCATTGTTATGACAAGAACGTCATGTACCAAAACCAACATCAAGAAAACTTCAGTAAATCAGCTTAAACACCACATTTATTTAAGGGGGAAACTACGTCAGAGATGAAAACCCAAATGATTTGATTATCTTCATGAGTGAACATAAAATGTGTTATTTTTTAATTGGGATTATTTCAGATTGATATTTTTTTGTTAATTAGCAGTTTAAAATTTGTTAGTATTTCCTGAAATAAAATCACAGCTTTTTAATCTGTTAACTTGTTTTAAAATGTATAAAGACGCAGTTATTTTTGTGGGTCATCTTGAGGCTTTCCTCAAACATTAATTTCTCTCTTACATCGTTAAAAAAGAAATTATTTACAGTGTACGTATTAGTTTATCTCTGCAGATGTTTCTTGCTTTCCTTTAGGAACAAAATGTGCTTTATTTTGAAGGACCAAAACGGAAGTTTGCGCTAAATGGGTTCAATGGAGCAGTTCGGAAATAAAAGCAGCTGGCTCGCGCCGAGACCCGTCAGTTCGGACCGACGTCGTCCCAGACCTGCAGACCTCGTTTATTTTCCAGTAGATGATCAATAATCAGCTTCAGACACAAAACTCTCCCACTCTGAAGCACCGGAAATGGAATGACGCGTGGCTCGTTGCTTCTGCTGAGTGGACGCTCGTCATCAGAGGCCGTTGCTGTCTTGGGGACTATTTACTTTAGTCTGATGTCCACCTCCCACCGTCGGCTTCAGACGTGCAGACAGCCTCACCGCGGAGCATCACGTTCACAGGGTAAGTGCGCCAAACCCAGCCTTCTGCTGCGGAAGGAGTTGGATTCGGTAGCGCAAAGTTGCATCATCTCAGCTGCACAGCTGGATGACCCCCCCTCCGGGAGTAATAATTGTTGATTTTCTTACATCGTGACTTTTTCTATGGTAGAGCTTTAAAAAGCCTCGGGATGTTCTGCGGGCCCGTCTGTCTGCTCGGGGCCGGACCGATGGGCTGGACATGCCCGGACATGTTGCACCACCAGCGGCTAAAATAAGGAAGATCAACGACGATTTTATCCTTTTACATCGTATCGGAGATCAAACGTCCCGATCGGCCTCAGCGGAACGTTGTTTGATGTTCTTGTAAAAAAGACAAATTTCGCTGCACGTAAATTTCTTTAGACTGACGACTGTTGTTTCCAGCGCATGCGCCCTCGTGTCCGCTGGGCACGGATTTGTTTACAAACACAAGTCTCGTGCTCTGAGAAGACGGTCTGTTGCTGCTGCTGCCCTCTGGTGGCCGAGAGGAGAGTAGCAGGCTGTCCGTGATGAGGTCATCGATCAGATGTTCTTGCGGCTGTGATCACGTGTCTGTGTCCAGCTTCAGGATGCTCTTGGTGTTTTACAGCCAGAGAAACAAGAGAGGTTATATTAAGGCACCAAGGTTTTCATACAAATGCATCAGAAACGTTTACGGAGAACAGTTCAGCACACCTCCACCTGGTCACCTTTACTCGTTTTAATGCAGGTGTGTGATTTATCCTCCAGGCTACCACTGAGATGGCCCGGGCAGAGACAGTCAGAGACAACGAAACCGGAGGAAACAGCCCTCTACCATGTCACAGCACCTGCAGCATGGAGGTGCCCCACCCCCTCCACACCTGGCCCAACATGCTCACGGCAGCTGCCAGAACCAGCAGGAGTGGGATCGGACTCGGCGCTGTGCATCTCCGCCACAACCAGCATCACCTGGAACCTTTTCAGGCTCTAAACCGGCTGTACCTGATGTCGTATCCTCACCCAGAGGGCCAGCAGTTGTCACCAACACCTCCACCTGCACCTGCACCACCCTCCAACCAGAGGAACGAGAGTAGCCAGGAAATAAATGACTCGTTAGATCTCTCAGGTAGGACCACGTTTGGTTCTGACAGGCAAACAGAGATGCTGAGGTTGTACAGGTGGGACGTCAGACATACCCCAGAACAGGATGACATGATGATGTCATACAACTGTGTTGTTAGGGAGCCTAAGTCCCGCCCATCTCCTTCCAGACCACGGGTCAAGAACAAACGAATGAACGCAAGTCAACGGGGCTGAAACTGCTATTGTGATGATGTCCCACGCATTTCACACATGATGTCCGTGAATTTTAGACGCGTTTGATACCAAAGAACGCGTTTATTTTCTAACAGGGGAAACGCTGTTTTAGGTGTTGTGTGAAAATAAGTCCAGGACTACAAACGTGCTTCACAAAAGTGACGTCATCGACCCAGACACGGAGAAAAACAGGGAAATGGCTGCAAGTTCAGCAAACTTCAAATCTTCCTTCAGGAGGGAAGAAGCACCATAAATCTGGTCATGTGGTGAGTAGCAGCTACGCTAGGGGGAGGAGCTTATGTGCTGATGTCACATATGCGACGTGCTGACGTCTGATTACTAACTTTTACAAGCTGATAAATCTCTAAATACGTGACAGGTGTGGTGGAAACACCGTCGTTAGTTTTCATCTAAACGGACGTACAGCATGTGGTCCGGGCGTGAGGCGAGCGGGTCAGGAAACGTTCAGGGACCTGCGACCGGAGATGGACCGGACTCATCAGTACCTGGACAATAACGCTCATTATTATTCCTCAGAGGGAACTTTGACCTCTACTGGTGAGCTGGGGCCGCCCCCCAGCTGTGCTCTCAGGCATGTCCAGACTCGTCCTCTGCTGCCGTAGCTGCTGGTTCATCAGTCAGCAAAGTCAATCGATTATTTTAATGTCCGTGTGACCAAAAGTCAGTAAAATCCTCCATTTCTGCTCTTTTATTTGAGTTTATAAAATCTCAGGTCGGTTCTTCAGCTTGTTGTTGTTTTTATCAGCTGGTCAAACGGTGTAAACAGGAAGCAATGCAACCGCAGAGCCGTGCCCGTGCTGGTGTCGTTTTCAGAGGCGCCCCACCCCGCCTTTCTCACACTTCCTGTCTCTGATTCGTCTAAGGAAGTGGGGGTGGGGGGGTCTGTTACCTTGTCTGCCCAAAAATCAGGTTCATCCCAAGCTCCGCCTCCTTTTCTCACTCATCCTATCATATTTCAGCCCCCTGCAGTCTCCTCCAATCACGTGCAGACGTCTCCGTGAGTCAGAGTTACCTTGGCAACAGGCCAGGGTCTTCCTGTTTGTTTTGCTCGCTCGCTCACTCCCTCCCTCTCTTCCAGTCTGGTCACCTGAGGGTCTCGTGTCTGACCCGGGCTGAAGCTTCATGCTAGCACCAGACTCAATAAGCAGATTAAAAGATTACTGTGTGAAGAGACAGCAAGTCACCGCTGGGCTCCTAAAGTCCAGTAAAGACTATCTCAGTGTAGAAGCCTTCCTGCTGGAATCTCTTAACAGAATGGGATCAATCCCATTTTGTGTTCTTCTGCCACAGATTCAGACAAAGAAGAAGAGTCCCGGCACGTCTTCAGCAGACGGGGACCGCTTCCTGACCTGCTGCCCCAGAATGAGCACCCGTCCAGGGTTCAAATCCCTGGAGGAGTGGCAGTGCCGGAGCTGGACGTCCTGAGAGTGGCGCAGCAGCTGAGGACAGTCGGAGACGAGTTCAACGCCACAGTCCTCTGCAGAGCAGTAAGGGCGGGACCGAAGCTTTAGGGGCCAAATGTTGACTTGTGGTTCTGAGGTGTTTATGGCAGCGTTAATTCATCCCTTTGTGCTGCGTGGATGTGAGAGGCTGGGCGGGAGTCCAGCTGGTCCTCCAGAACCACCATTCAGCATCTTCTCTGGTTCCTGTGTTCCAGCTCACCTGCTGTTTGTTACTCAGCAGGTGAGCTGGAGCAGAGAAACAACTAAAACATGCTGGATGGGGTGGGGGGGCTGCAGAACCATTCTCTGTCCTTTATAGTTGTGTTTTTAATTCTCTAATATAACAATAATGATATAATAGTAATAATACTTATATAATAATTATTATTGTTAGTATATAATCATAGAAATATTCTTAAATATCAAATAATTTTTATTATATAGTTATAATAATAATTATTGTATATTAATTTTTTAGATATTAACAATAATCATATGAGTATTAATGGTAATATTAAAATTATTATTATATAGTTATATAATAATAATTATATATAATTATTATTTTATAGTTATTAACAATAATCATATATTAATATTAATGGTAATATAATGATTATTATTATATAGTTGTTATATAATAATTATATTTTAATATTATTTTATAGTTATTAACAATAATTGTATATTTGTGTTAATGGTAATATTATAATAATTATTATATAGTTATATAATAATAATTATATATTAATATTATTTTATAGTTATTAACAATAATCATATTAGTATTAATGGTAATATAATAATAATATTTATATATTAATATTATTTTATAGTTATTAATAGTCATATATTAGTATTAATGGTAAATTATAATTATTATTATATAGTTGTTATATAATAATAATAATTATATATTAACGCATTCACTGCCATTGACGACTAAAGTCGTCATTTTAGATCCAACCGTTCACTGCCAATGACGACGTCATTTGCATTTTTTTACTGTTTGAGCATCGGAACGAGCCCCCGTGCTGAGAACAAACATCTCAGCGCTGAAGCCGATCTTCATCCGCATACGTCACAGATCACGTGATCAGGAAGCAGAACATCCATGTGTTTGGAGATCGTTTTGGGCCGTTCCTGTAAAAAAAAGTGAGGCGCGATCCGGAAAAGCGTCTGCTGATCACAATTCAACAACGGGTTCTGAAAGAACGGATAACGCTCAAAACACGCAGACTCTTCCTGATGTAAGAGGTGAGTCTCCGCTTTGTTTTGGTTGTTTTGGCATCGACATCATGCTAGCGTGCAACGTTCTGTGACTCTTAAAAAAACAGTAAAAACGGTGAGAAACGCTGGCAGCGAATGAGTTAATATTATTTTATAGTAATACTAATCATATATTAGTATTAATGGTAATATTATAATTATTATATAGTTGTTATATAATAATATATTCATATTATTTTATAGTTAACATTAATCATATATTAGTATTAATGGTAATATTATAATTATTATATAGTTATATAATAATAATAATTATACATTAATATATAGTTAAACAATAGTCATATATTAGTATTAATGGTAATATAATTATTATATAGTTGTTATATAATAATAATATATTAATATTATTTTATAGTTATTAACAATAATCATATATTAGTATTAATGGTAATAGTATTAATGGTAATATTATAATTATTATATAGTTGTTATATAATGATAATATATTAATATTATTTTAGTTATTAACAATAATCATATATTAGTATTAATGGTAATAGTATTAATGGTAATATTATTATTATTATATAGTTGTTATATAATAATAATATATTAATATTATTTTATGGTTATTAACAATAATCATATATTAGTATTAATGGTAATATTATTATTATTATATAGTTGTTATATAATAATAATATATTAATATTATTTTATGGTTATTAACAATAATCATATATTAGTATTAATGGTAATATAATAATAATGATTCCATAAACTAAGGTCAGCTCGGGTTAGGCTTGTGCGAGTTTTCCCAGACGCATCGTCCGCCTGAGCTCGTTCACGCTGACCTGCTGGTTTAGATGAGGACTCCTTCTCTCAGACTAACTGGTGTTTGTCTCTGTCCCAGCTTGCTGCACCCCCCCACTGGGAGGACTGGAGGGACGTCTTCAGAGCAGTCCTCACCTTTGTCACCCAAGCACTCAGCACGCTCTGCAGGCGGACGTAGACCTCCCATCCAGACTCCGCCTGGTTCTGACCTCTTCCTGCTGGACTTTGGTTATGGATGGGGTGGGGTGGGGGGGAAGATCTGTAGAATCTGGACCTGGTGGTCCGTCAGTCAGTCGGCTGGTCCGGCCTGGACCTGACGGACCAGCAGTTACCACCTGTACATCTGTGATATTCTTCTGTTATGTCTTTGTCTCGTCTCAGGTAGTTGTGTGTGTGTGTGTGTGCGTGCGCGCGCATGTGTGTGTGTGTGTGAGACAGACTCTGCAGCCTGGGTCTTCTCTTTAGAAACTGTGAACTGGACTCTGGGTTTAAGTCCAGCTCAGAGCGAACCCCTCACCGATCTGTTTCATGGTGCCTTTCCGCCGGGGCTCCGCCTCCAGAACGGCGACAATCAGACCCGAAGTGCTTCGGTTTTATAATCCTGCTGAGTAAAGATGCTCGCCCTGAAAGTCTGGTCATAAGAAGCACTCGTGTTCCTGGGTTCTGGGTTCAGCTCTAGCTGATCAGCTGTAAATATTCCTCTGGGAGACGGGTCGGAGCGATGCAGGGGCGGGGGTCTGAAGTTAAATCCAGTGGATTTGAGAAGGTATTCCCAGATCTGGACCTTTTGTAAAGTATTGACCATTTTCTTTTTTTCATTGTAGTCGGAGAAAAAACTGAAATAGTCAAAAATGTAATTTATTTTGGAAACTATAGCTTGTTTTATGTAAAATAATTTATTTTTCTAGGCTCTGACCACGTGTGGAAGATTGAGTCAGCAGGATGAAAGCATGAATGTCCCCATCTGAAAGTGATGAATCAGCTGTGATGAGTTCAGATCAAATAAAACAGCCAGTTGTCTGAAGTCAGGGTCGGGTTCTCCTAGTCTGTGTGTGAAGCAGCAGGTTCTGGTGTCTCCGCGGGTCGGACCCTTCTGGTACTGAACATGTTAACACGTATGTGCTGTAACATACTTGAGCCTCAAAACGCCACAGTCAGGATTTGGGTTTGACTCAGATGTCTTGGTTATTTTTGACGTTTGAATCCTGGACGTGTGTCCATCCCACGGGCAGAACCGCTGTGATGCCACCCGTCTGAAGCAGGTCCACTCGCGGAGCTGCGTGTCAGTCAAACTGTGTTTGCAGTTTTTGTCTCATGTAACATTTTCCTTGGATTTTGTACTTTTTTCTTTTTTACACAATAAAAACAAACAAAACAGCAGTTTTAGCTTTGATTTGTTCGAAAGAGTTAAAGAATCCTGATTATTAGTGTCACTGTAAACATTAAACCCGTCAGAATTGGTAAACAAAAGCTTGACGGAATCACCCGTCTCTGCAGGGCAGCCTGGTCCTCATCTTTAAAAAGAGTTCGCTAAACCGAATCCTCCAGGGAGGAGTCACTGGCGCTTTGGCCTGTGAACGCGTTGCTGCACCTGCTGGTGGAGGCTGCCGTTATGGCCGTTGGGTTTGTCGCCGTTCTAATGTAGGAACAACACGTCCTCCGGCCAAGTCATTGCCTAGGAGGACATCAATCCCCTTGATGGGCAGTTCTTTACACACCGCAACATTAACCGTCCCACTCACAAGAGGACACTTGAGAAACAACGAGTGCACAGGAGTGGGTAGCCATCCCATTTCAACACCTTGCAGAATAACAGAAGATCCAGCAGCGCTCACAGATGAAAAAGGTAACACGTTTTCTAGCATTAAAGTCTGGGATGCTCCCATGTCTCTTAATATTTTGATCGGCTTCTTTGCCTCAGAGTCCCCAGTTAAGGAGAATAAAGGGTTAAAACGGGTCTGGGAGGTCTCCTTTTCCTCTTATTTCCTCAGGAGAGGAGGAGGTCTTCACAAAACCAACCTCTTTGCTGCTCAGTTTGCATTGCATCATTAGAGGCCACGCATCCCGCGGCCACCGAAGAGCAGTCGCAATCCGCTCAAAAGCCATGAAGTAGCCGTCCACTTCGGTTTCCCTAAATTTTGGCAATATGTTGATGTATTTAGCAGATGCTTTTGTCCAAAGCGACTTACAAGTGATAATCGGCATGTTGTCCTTGAGGCTAACAACAACAACAACAACAATTTCCAGTCAGTCGTAGGTGGCAGTGAGGCAGCATGATGAATCATGGAGAGGAGGGAACAAGGAGTGGACGGTACAGAGGGGGGATGGGTGCAGGGAGGGTCCTAGTTTAGAAGATGCTCTCTGAAGAGCAGGGTCTTCAGGAGTTTCTTGAAAGTCAAAAAGGAAGCCCCTGTTCTGGTAGTGCTTGGTAGGTCATTCCACATTTGTGGAACGATGCATGAGAAGAGTCTGGATTGTCCTGAGCGTGGTGTAGGCACTGCTAGCCGACCATCCTGTGATGACCGGAGCGGCCGGGCTGAGACGTAAGCCTTTGCAAGAGGATTCAGGTAGATGGGAGCCGTACCATCTCGGACTTTGTATGCTAGTGTTAGCAGTTTGAATTTGATGCGTGCTGCTAGCGGTAGCCAGTGGAGCTCAATGAACAGAGGGGTGACGTGTGCTCTTTTTGGCTGATTGAAGACCAGACGCGCCGCTGCGTTCTGGACCATTTGAAGAGGTCTCACAGTACAGCCTGGAAGACCAGTTAGAAGGGCATTGCAGTAATCGAGGTGGGAGATGACAATAGATTGCACCAGGAGCTGGGTGGCATGTTGTGTTAGGTATGGTCGGATCTTTCGTATGTTATACAGCGCAAAGCGGCATGAACGAGCAACAGAGGCAACATGATCTTTAAAGGTCAGGTGTTCATCAATCACAACACCCAGATTTCAAACTGCCTTTGAAGGAGCCAGAGATAGGAAGTCATTCTGGATTGAGATATTGTGCTGTATGGATGGTTTTGCTGGGATGACAAGTAGTTCAGTTTTAGAGAGGTTGAGTTGGAGATGGTGGGATTCCATCCTTTTTGATATGTCAGAGAGACAGTTTGATATTCGTGCAGAAACAGTGTGGTCGTCTGGTGGAAATGACAGATAGAGGTGTCGTCTGCATAGCAGTGGTAGGAGAAGCCATGTGATCGAATGATCTCACCCAGTGAGGTGGTGTATATGGCAAAGAGAAGAGGTCCTAGTACAGAGCCCTGGGGGACTCCTGTGGCAAGATAGTGCACGGTAGAGGATTGTCCAAGCCAAGATACACTGAATGATCGTCCTGTGAGGTACGATTCAAACCAGGCGTGTGCTTTCTCTGTGATACCCATGCTAGAGAGTGGACAAAAGGAAGCCATGGTTGACAGTGTCAAATGCAGCCGATAAGTCGAGCAGGATAAGCACTGAGGATTTGGCAGTCACTCTAGCTTCTTTTAAGGATCCCGTCACTGCTAACAGAGCAGTTTCAGTGGAGTGGCCCTTTGTGAACCCAGATTGGTAAGGGTCAAGCAGACAGTTTTGTGAGAGGTATTCTGTGATCTGCTTGAAAGCCACCCTTTCAATGATTTTGGACAGATAAGGGAGATAGGTCGGTAGTTCTCCACATGATTTGGAGGAAGAGATGGGTTTTGTTTTTAGCAGTGGTTTAACCTGAGCATGCTTGAGAGAGGTGGGAAATGTACCGGATGTCAGTGAAGCATTGATCACATGTGTGACTGCTGCGGCTACTGTAGGAGCAATAGCTTGGAGCAGCTTAGTCGGAATGGGGTCCAGTGGGCATGTAGTAGGGCGGCTGCACGTGAGAAGCTTGGACACACAGTTCTCAGTGAGAGGGGAACAAGAGGAAAATGAAGCAGTAGGGCTTGAGATGGTTGGGCTAGAAGGAGTTTGTGGGAGTGAATGTTCAGGAGTGGCCAGTTGAGTAAACTGTTTGCTTATAGCTGCCACTTTGTCAGTGAAGAATGAGGCAAAGGAGTCAGCTGATAGATTGTTGGTTGGAGGTGGAGATGGAGGGGTGAGCAGAGTTTTGAATGTTGAAAATAGTTTCTGAGAGTCAGTAGAGCTGAGAATTTTGTCAGTGTAGAAAGCTTTCTTTGCATCAGTGATGCTGGCAGAGAATGAGGACAGTAATTCATGAAATTTCAATTGATCACCAGGATCTCTTGTTTTGCACCATTTCCATTCCGCAGCTCTAAGATTGGTGCGTAGAGACCGGAGGGTATCATTTAGCCAAGGGTGCGACTGAGAGGATCTAGCAGGTCTAGTGGCTAAAGGACACAAGTTATTAAGACAAGAGCAGAGTGTGGAGCAGAGTGACTCGGTGGCATCATTCACTTCATAAGCAGAGAAGGTGCTGGGAGGTGGAAGAGTGGAGGCAACAAGAGAGGAAAAGTGGTTGGGTGCCAGATTGCATAAGAGGCGTGCACTTACTTAAGTCTAGGGGTTGCGAAAGAGACGGCACATGGGAAGCCTTCAGATGATCCCGGCTCTGTGGCAGTTCAGCTCAAGCCTCCTGGACCTGGCTCCGAGTCAGTTGAGTCTGGGAGTCGGGCTCTCGTTTTGGGAATGCACGGCTTTGTGCTTCTGTCTCCCGTCTCGAGGACACCTCGGCTTGGGCTTCCAGCTCCAGTTGTCTGATGCGTACTGCAGTCTCAGCAATTGTTTCGATTTCGAGTCTGCATAATTCAAGTTCAACTTAGAGGCTGATGAGAGGGGCCAGGAGAGAAAGCTCTATCTGGAGATGAGCCAATCGCAGTTTAAGTCGGGCTCCTTCTGGACTTCCCCTCCCAGGGGACTGAGGAGGAGGAGGGGAGGTGAAGGGGTTTGGATGGCAGCTTTATCACCCTCACAATTATCACTTTCACTCCCCGACACCTGTTGTGAAGTAGCGGTGGGGCCTGGGCCATCCCAGCTGATCTCCAGAGGAGCAGCTAGGCCTGGTTCCATCAAGGAAGAGAGCGCTCCCTGGGCTACCAGGTAATCAATCACTAATTCTCTTAATTCCTCTTTGTTAATTTTCTTGGAGACAACTATACTGAAGTGGAGGTCACCTGCAGAAGGTCGGCTTTCCAGCAGCTCCTCAGTGCCTCGTAGGATGGGGCCTCCACAAATGTCCGCAGGTTGAACGAAGCCATTGGCTGTAATGTGACCTTTAAAACAACCAAAACACAAATTAATAACTTCCAAATAATGGATTATTTTTCCTTCACTGTCTAAAATAAAATAAATCCTGGACGAGCCCCCA